TAAGACATCCCCCTTTATATGATTTTTGACTTATTTTTGTATTTGTTTTTAAAAGCATCACCTTTAAAATTATTTAAAGTGGACTGTTCTCGAGTGGGTGAGAGTAGTGATTTCAAACCTTACGAATTTTATGAAGATTTACAAATAATGATCCTAAATTTACCTGATTTCAATAAAGGTGTAAAACAGCTGCTCCAATACATAATAGAAAATAAGTTGAAAGAAATGTATCCAAATATTTATATTGTTATTCAAATTTTGTTAACAGTACCAGTAAGTACAACTGCTGAAAGGAGCTTCTCAAAATTAAAACTAATAAAAAATTAAGACTTTAGCATTGTCAATTTTATCTATTGAAGCAGATATATAATCTGGATTATGGTACAAGAGTTAAGTAAAGCTAAAAGCAGGAAATTTATGTTTCTGTAATTCTTTACTGCTAGTAATAATTACTTAAAAATATTAGTTAAAGTCTAAGAGTTGTTAGCATTTTTTTATACAAGTTTTAATGTTATTTCTCTATATAAAATACGTCTTCTTACGCCTCCAGAGGTCCTTGCAAAAATATATCTTGCCCACATAAAATTTAGGTCTTGCTCCGCCACTGAAGAGTTTTTTTATTGTTATAGACGTCTAGAAGTAAATTATTTTATTTTCAGCTAAGACGAAAAACTCCATCGATGTGAAACGTTATTTTGAATTTGACAGGTTAAACGACAGCTCCCACCACCGGGACAAAGTACCTACATGTTATTCACTGCCTCCCCCTTTCCATGTAACTAACTAAAAAACACGACATGCCACTTTAAATATTTTTTTTGACGTATGTGTTCTCATCTAGTTTTCTATAAAATGTGTTTCTAATAGATTTACAATAAAGATAAGACTTTTTAACCTTTAATTTTACTAGATATTAAATAATATTTTTTTAGTCTTGTACAAGAATTTATTCTTCCTATCTTCATCCTTTATATCCGTCTTCAACTTATTTGAAATAATAATTTAAAATCTGTAAATTATAGATACTTACCTCATTTGTAACGATTCCATCATTTTCATTTTTGTTAGTTTCAATTAAAAAAGGAACATTATCATTTTTTGAAATTAAAATGTTTTCATTTTTACCAATATTGTTACCTACATTAACATTGCCAATATTGTTTTCAACATCAATATTATTTTAAAACAAACATGATAAACATAATAAATAAAAAAAAAATCATCTTCAATGAAAATTCTTTATAATTTGTTATTAATCAATATAAATAATACATTTTCTTTACATTGTCACTTACGTCTTGAAGACTTTTTGACGTAAAATTGACAGGCTGTAATAATGTATAATAATATGCTTTTTCAGTGCATCCAATCTCGTATACAAAATCGAAAATATACAAATTTGATATTGATTCTAAACTATTCAAATACAGAGTCACTTTATTATCTGGTAAATTAATTAATTCTGAAGTAGGAACAAGACATTCATCTTTCTATGACAATTTTTTATTTTTATTTTCATTCAAAATAGTTCATAAAATATAAAAAATTGCTATATTGCTAAATGTTACTCTAAAATATTTTTATTCAACTTTTTTATCATTGGTTAACACAAGTAGGTACTGTCACTAAAATGTGTATCAATTTTCACCAAAACTAATGAAAACGATTATTATGAATTCTGGTATTTAACACCCCTGGTGAACACCCTATATCATAAATTGTTATAGATACAAGAATACGTTGTTTATACAGGGTGAGTCAGGAGGAGCGCACCAAGCTCTAGGAGTATATTATACACGTGAAAATAATGTAAAAAAACTCATGTTCTTATCCGATTTTCATTTGTTTTCAAGTTATAGCATATTAACAAATAAACAAATTTACACATAAAAATTCTCTTATTCTAAATTTGAATAAGTATCTGGCATTTTGCAACACTAACAATTACATAAATTCGAAATTAAACGTTCAGTTACTGTTCACTGTACACTGACAGTTCATCAAACCGTCAGAATTATCAAATGCCTTTGAGCCTTGAACATATGGCATACTTTGATAATGTTAAAATTCAGAAATGGAAGGCTAGATGAACATTTTTTATTACGCCATAACTTGAAAACAAATGAAAATCGGATAAGAACACATGAGTTTTTTAAATTATTTTCACGTGTATAATATACTCCTAGAGTTTGGTGCGCTCCTCCCGACTCACCCTGTATATATATTTTTTTCGTCAAAATGACGTAAATTGGGAAAGAATGTTATATCAAAAGCTGCGGGCCTAGATGGCCTTTAGAACTGATATTAACCGGTCCAGGTATTAGACCGGAATCGCTTAGCAGGTGAGCTCTTTCAAACTGATAAAAAGAAAGTAGGAATACAAATTCTTAAAAGCTTAAAAAAAGTGATATTAAAATGTTTGCTTTGTTTTCCATAAAAACTAAAACAAATTTTGAAACAGTGGTTCCAGCGGAACACAGAACTTTATTTACAAAAAAAGTTATCTAAAAAAAATGTTTCTGAAGTAGGCCATGATCGACAAATATAAAGATACGATTCATGTCCCATGTCCGTAATAACTACGAACGATTCTGAATTAAATTCAAAATAAAACTTAAAAAGAAAAATAATTTAATGCTCCGACATGCGTAAATTTTTCTAAAGCCAACTTTAGAAACATTTCTTTGAATAATTTTATATTTTTGCTTTAACTTAAAATTAAAAAAAAAATATTTTAAAATTTTAAATGTCTATATTTTCACTTAATCTTCTAGACAAAGATAATTGGCAATATAAATTATTCCTCTCACCCTCTGTAAAAATAAAAATCTGTATTCCTCATTTTGGCAAAATCTGTGCTGATGTCAAATTGGCGTAATTAAATCATTGGAACCCAGCGTTGAGCGAGACAGATTCACGATTAAAATTATAGTTTTGTTTTGTCTGTATTACTATTGTTAATGTTTTATGTTAGAGGGCAAAAACAATAATTAAAGTCAGAGATTTAGTGTTTTAAACGGATGATATAGTTTAAATTAATACCCTCGCCAACCTTTTTTTTTATTTAGAATACAACAAAACAAACAAATAAAGATATAATATATCTCCTTTTATAGGCATCTCTATAATACCTACAACTTCTCTACATAACATTTTTCTCTCCGTAAAATAGATTATTCTAAAAACTCACAAAGTGGAATCGATAGTATTTCGGAACAAGTCAAACGCTGTAAACAATTTTTGTACAGACCGCATACTTTGTATCGTAATATTACCGTTTTCGCACGTGTTGGAACAAACCTATTATACCACTATACGCGCGAACTCATAGAAAAGAGATTTGTTGTAAAGATCTGTAAAAATTCTTCGAGTCAAACCTTTTGAAGGGCAAATTTCATGGGCCCATCTTGACAACGTCGCAGGGACTCGTATGTATATTGAAAAAGTAATTTATAAACAGAAGGCCTCTCATGTCAGTTAAACATTGTTAAGGGACTCGCATGCACGTTGCAAACATGTATGTTTAAATTTTAGAAATATATTACCCCTCTTGTGGCGTTATAATTTAACATTATTAGTACATTCTAAAACATTAAAATATATATTCAAAAAATCACTCCTTCAGGAGGGCCTCGGGTGGTGTGTTGACTACATCGGGCCTCGCTTTTGTATTTGGCTACGTATATATATATATATATATATATATATATATATATATATATATATATATATATATAAAAGCCAAAAATGGCTTAGTCTTTGCCGACTAGTTAGAAAATAAACTAAGGAAATATATATATAAATTATCCATGTGTGTTACTCATTGTTGATAGGTATTGAGGTTATGCCGGAACTTGACAATTTATTTAAAAAATCCTTATATAAAATATATATATTTAACAATATATTAAGTAAGGTTTAATTTACCTTACAAAATCAGACGGCCAATAAGAATATTAAAAATCAATTAGTACATCGGATGTCCAAGATAATTTAAAAATTAAAATCAACTTGATTCGTTGACAGATTCAAATCAAATGAAATACGAACTTTTGACACAAGGTATAAACGACAAATGACATTTGAGTAGAGATGATAACGAATAACGGTTCCAACCGTTACAATCTATGCTTATAAACTTCTTGCTAGAGATAGTTAACGTTTTGTAAAACTTTTAACAAAGATCTCTTCGCTCAATTGCGCCATCTATTATTCAATAATCAAAGTAAGAGTTGTAATGGCTAATAAGTTATATTATTTTTTATTAATATCGTGGTAATTTAATTATAATTGTTATTGGAATATTTGTTTTAGCTGCGTATTAAAGTTTATTTTTAAGTGATTTTCTTAAATTAAAAGATGTTGTAGTTGAATGTTATAAGTGTTAAATTTAATTTTATTGTTACCTTTTAGTGCATTTGGATACGCACCTGTGGGCGCCAGCCTGTCGAATATCACCTCGCTATGTAGCTCGATTTTGTTGATCGGCTTTGGACTTCCAGTTTATTAGTTTCCGAAATTGGGGTCCAAATATGTAGGGGCGGTAGTTCGCATAATTTAAGACCGATTCGCAGATTTCATTTTTCCAAAATATTAAAAATAAAAATAATTAAAAATTAATTAAAAATTTTAAACAGGTACGGTCCTGCACAGCGATGGGTTCACCTCGACTCGCGCGCGCTGCGATTGCACAAGAAAAACAAGCGGAGGGAGAAATTTGCAAATCGCATCTGTTTTTGAGTTGTAAATCTCGATGAGTAACCAATTAGGCGACTATTGCGCTACGCGCTCAGGGTAGGACCCGCTTTTTGATTTTTTTTATAATGGTTCTATTTTGTTTACTATAATTTTTTTAGAAAAATTAAATCTGCCAATCGCTCTCAAATAATACGAACTACCACCCCTACAAATTTGGACGCCAAGTTCGGAAACACCCTGTATAGTTCAGTGTTGTTTCCTCGAGCGCTTCATTATGTATTTGTGTATTAATAAAACATCATTGTTTTCAATAATTTATTAATCACAAACAAAAAATCAACATTTAAAAACTTCAATTGTTTTCATTTTGACATTTTCCCCTTTGACATATTTGTTTAGCAGCTCATCTAGATCATTATCATTGTAATAAACTACAAATCCTTTGGGCGACAAACCTTCAAAAACTGTACAAACCGAAGGTTTTAAATTATAAAAAAAGAGTACTTGATCCCGCGACGAGAAATTTTGAATTAGAGTTTCTATAACGGTAGCTGCAGTAAAATCGGCGCCGTAAATGTGTGAACAGTCTATAACAACTGGGACTTCTTGACGAATACTGTATTTGGTGACGATGTTTCTTACATAATCGACTGACGGGAAAATAAGGCACCTATCTGGAGTTAGTAGAAGGTAATCGATTCCACCTGTGGTCTAAAAGTTAAAAAATACAACAGATAAAGAAAAAATTATCTTTTTTAATTACACATTCCAAAAAATAGGTTATTGCATATTCATACACCTACTTAAAGAGTGACATCTAGAGCTAACAGTGATAAATAAAGCACTAGTTTGGCCCAATATTTTAATGTTTTTTAATGAAATTATCGTAAGATAACTTACTTTTAATTGTTCCACTTTAATTTTTGGTCTGGCAGCGTGATATAATATTAGTAAAATATTTATTCCAATTCCTACTAAAATTCCTACCTCTAGATGTAACACCAGACATGCAATTAGAGTCACTATGAAGATAATGAAACAGCTTTCTGAAATAAGAGAAAAATATTATTATTATTATTATTATTATTATTATTATTATTATTATTATTATTATTATTATTATTATTATTATTATTATTTAACTATTTTTTTTAAGTAGTTTCTGTCGGTAGAGATAATAGATGTTTTCATTAGAAGACATAATGCCGTTGCAAGGTCATTGCAAGAGCTTTGCGACATCTATCAGTTTACACAACAATAGAATCGGCATTTTATTAAAAAAAAAAAAAAAAATGTAAAAATGTAAATTATCGTTTTGGCAGTCTAAGGTTATGGCGTCAGAATAAACGGGATCGGTTAAATGTTAATAATTAATTTTATATTTTATAGGGATACTTAGAAGCACCTATTAATTTTTTCATTCGCGTAAATTTAAATTTAACAAAAAAATTAGAACTCCTTTATTGGCCTTTAGTTAGGGTGACTCCAGGTCAGTCCCTCTTCAGCATTTTTTTTTTTAACAGAAGCCTCAATGATTGTAAGCATTTTCATCTCTTTGGCGTGGTCCCTTCCATGGAATTTGGGACACAGTGTATAGAATTAAATTTAAAGGCTATGATTTCATTACCCTGAATATTTCATATCCATAGGCGCCGAATCCTTGGGGCTCTGGGTGCGCAAGCACCCAGAACAGTTTTAAACTGGGTACGGAGCACCCATAGCACAACGTGGACAAAAAGTGCCAATAAGTGAAATATAGAAGCTGTCGTGGCCCAAGTTCGTAGAGCGACAGGATGCCTCAATGCGGCATCAGTTTTTCATTGGTTGTCAGAGTTGTGTGCTGAGGCGTTGCACGTTGCGATAATCCTAATGCAAAATATTAAAGCTTTCTTCTTAAGACCCAACTGAATTTTTTTCTAAGAAGACGATTTTTCCTTCGAAGTAATACAAGATGTCACTTTAAATTTTTATCTCTTAATTTTTAACAAATACGTAACACGATGAGTTTAATAAAACGTATATTTCGAATTAGCACGGTAGCAAATTGGCCCCACCTTATCGACAGAACATTTTTAAATCTTAACAAAAGTTTCCTTAAATAATTGGGACACAAATAAAAGAGTGTATTTTGCGTTTTAGCTTTTAAATACTACAAAAAATGGTGGAAATTTCATAACTTTTAAATATTTGTTAAATATCACTTATTAAAATATTATGCATTAAAAGTAAAACAAACTATAGACTTTCCACCATTCTTTACTTTACTCTGAACCCATTTTTAAAAACAATTTCTGAAATTATTATTGTTCGGAACTGTATTTTTTGTGATAAAAAAAGTCGCCGTCAGTTGTCATTGACAACGTGTTGAACTTGGACTTAAAGGTTCATTATTCTTGTTGTATGAAACCCTATGACATCAAAGAAGAACGACTAATAACGGTCTACAATTAACAAGACGAGAGCTCTATACATATGCTATCGAGAAAATGCTTGAGGGGATAAGGGAGAACATTTACAAGTTGCTCCAGATCAAGCACCGTTAAAAAGGAACGTTCATTTAGAGTCAGAAACAGCTCTCTAGTAGTGCTCACGAGTAACATTTTTTGTCAGTTTTACCCCCTGAACGGAAACCCTCTAGCGGGGATGAGACTCAACCCTAAAATTTTAAATGCAAAGAGGGGTCGAATGATATTTTATTTTAAAGATATTTTTACCTAGATTATAACCCCCAAGTTTTACATCGCTACTATCTACGTAGCCCATACAGTGGCTAACCAAAAGTTATTAAAAAAAAAAGAAATTTTTTGTAATAATTCTAGTTTTATTGTTATCAGATAACATTTTTTGGTCGCCGCACACTGGGGCAAGAAGCCCTCAAATTTGGCAATAAATAAAAAAATTAAATAGCATATACACTCTACCTCATATTTTTTTCTGATATATTACTGTCCACTAGATAATAAAGCGAACAAGTGCGATCTTCTGTCTCACGCGTTTCATCACCACCCTCAGTCGAAGTTACTTATCTGAGGCGAGTATATATTCATTGTTATTTCGTAGTTTTTGTGCTGTGTTTAGGCTGTATTTTGATCTTTTATTTTCAAATTTCCGTCATCGAGCCTTTAAGTTCAGCTATGTATTATTATTTTAATAAGTAAAAAGTTGTAGAAAAATAAACGTAATCCTATAATATTGGGGTTAAGTAAAATGAAGGTAAAACGTTCAAATTTTAAAATATTCTTAAATACATGAAGGCTATTTGTTATGTTCCAAAGCAGTCCAAGCTTTAAATTTCGACTTTTCATAATGAATATTGTTTGTACTTTTTGAAATAATTTAGTTTTTGTGCACTTATTTGCACTTTTCTTCACAATTTATGTTTTTTCAAAGTATATGGCGGGACGATCGTCAAAAACGAATTCTGTCTTTGTAAATATATTTCGTTTATTAATGAATCAATTTTATTGTCCTTAGGCTCATTTTATAGGCAACTAAATATGCTTCCAGACAGACATAACAAACAGCCAGAAATGTAAAATTTAAGATGGCCGACCTAATTGAAGAAAAAAAACGAGCCTAAAAGTAACCCATTTTAAGCTCGTTCTGCGTAATAATTATAAATTAAATATAAAATCTGATAACAAAAGTTAAATATCTAACCTATTTTCTTTATTTTAAGACCTCTCCGAGCACGATTGGTCCATTCAATCGTAAGATATAGACAATCAAAGTTGTCTAGTTTTTATGTTTTCATAGAAGCTTATAATAACACATCATTATGCTTTGCAACGCTGCTATTTTAGTTTTTGACCGATTTGGACTCAATGCGTCTGATTTGGTAGGTATGTAAATATACTTTCCGACCATTAAATTAAAATGGCGGAAATTTTAAATTCCAGGATGGCGAACCTAATTGAAATATGAGTCGATTTAAAGCTAGTTTATTTTTGGTAGATCTGGGAGCATAGTTAGTTATCTATAACATGGAGCCTAAGAACAGTAAAATCGGTTTATTATTTAAAAAATGAAAATAAAAACAAAATACAGTTTTTTATAGCCCACCGGGTAAAAATAAAACATAACAGTGTTTCGCACATAACAATTTAATTTATTTTTTATTTTATTTCTGGAACGAGGTTGAACACTATGTTTTTATCGAGAAAGAAACTTCTTGATATCATGAGAAGTTCTGGAAAGAATGAAATTAATAGAATTTGCTCACAACACCGCTAGATACTTTTTTGAAAAGTACCCACGGTCAATATGCTTCCGACATTGCACAAATACTTTATATGAGCCTGAAATAATATCTTCTGCTTCGTTGCCTTTAGACCAATTAACAGAGAAAACTAATGAGGACGTCTTTAATTCTTTTTTACTTAGTTTCGACCTTGTAATCACGAGCAAACGAAAATTTAAAAAGAAAGAAGCTGCAGCACTTTCCTAAAAAAGCAGTAGATTTATTTAAATCTGGACTTGTCCAGCTTCATAGCCATGGTATATTCATGACACTGATGATGACCGTGGAGACGACAAAGAAAATGTCTTATCACATTCTAAAGAGGATGAAATTTGGTTACAATTATAATAGTTCTTCTAAATGAAATTATTATAATATTACATTTTTATTATCTGTATCTTTAACGTGTGGAGGGTGGATTACCCCCACGGAACTTAGGCCTCATTAGGTCCATGACATTTTTATTGTTAGTATTACAAAAGCAAATACATAGAGGGCCTAATAGAATATAAATTTTTATTATATTATAACTTTCTATTTTTTTTAGCAAACAAACACTTTATAAGCCCTCTATGTATTTTCATTTGTAATACTAACACCTCTACAAAGCAATATTTAACTTACAAATTCATAAAGAGAGCCTGTGATTTATTGCCAACCTTGATGGCTTGTTGCCCCAGTGTGCGCCGTAAAGTAGTAAGATGTAGTTTATTTCGTTATAGAGTCGGCATAAAAATGGCATATCAGTGATAATGGTTTACTCAATTGCTGAGAGGGTGCAAATAATTTAAATTTTTGCGAACAATGGATGTGCTAATAGAATTGCCCAACTGTTTAACAATCAAAATCGACAAGTCCATCACAAGTATATTTTGAGAAACAAGGTCAGTAACTAACAAATAACGTGAAACGGAAAATGCTGTAATAAATGGTACAGAGGTGGCGATTTTAGGGCATGTTGTTCAAGAACCCACATTGAGCACAAGACAGTTGGCGATAACATCTGGTATTAAGAGAAGTTGCATTCAGAAGATATTGAAAAAACACAAGTATCATCCCTAAAAAATACATCTGGTACAAGAACTTAACTAAGACGATTTTTATAGGCGTTTACAATTTTGTGAAAATATGACTGAACAAGCAATTTCTTTTCGACGTGTTTTTTTTTTCTAAATAGTACGGTAAATCGTCACAACTGTCGTTATTGGTCCGATTCAAATCCCAGAATATTTCATGAACTGCATACGCAACATTCGGAAAAGCTGAATATTTGAACTGGAATTTTTGGGAACCGTATAATTAATTGGCCCCTTTTTTTTACCTGGAACTCTAACCGCAGAAATGAATGTGGAATTATTAGAAAACGACATTCATACAGCATTATTAGAGTTGATTGAGAATGACGATCAGAATATAGCAAACAACTTAATATTCCAGCAAGACGGTGCGCCACCCCATTTAGCACTGACTGTTCGTCAGTATTTGGATCGAACGTTTCCAGGTCAATGGATCAGAAGATGAGGAAGTATTGAGTAGCCCCCACGGTCTCCGGATCTAACCCCGTTAGATTTTTTATGGAGCCACTTAAAACTTAAAATTTATGCCACCCAGACAACATCACTGGAAAATCTGCGACAACGGATAATTGATGACACTAAGGATTTAAAACTCCTCGGAGGTAAAAATACCTTCAAAATAAGATTTTAGGGGGAAGTTTCACCCCCGCTAAAGGGTTTCCGTTCAAGGAGTGAAACTGCCAAAAAAATATTTCCCCCTAAAATCAAAAATTGACGGGTCCGAGCGTATTTTCGTAAATGACCTAAGATGCCCAAAATTGGCTCTATTTCGTTTTCAAATTGTCACCCTGTATGTACAATACTCCATTATGTGTATATTAATAAATCATCAAAAATCTTCTAAATTCATGATAGTTAATAAATGTTTTATATTGTGTTTCTACTTATTTCATTGGTATAGCAGCACCACTGAATACCAGTGATGTCTGCATCGAGCATATAGGGTTACCAGAGGCCAGATATCCCGATTTAGGTGGGAGCCTCAAGCATCGATTGTTGATACTTCTGTCTGCCGCTTCAATCCTCAAAACTCCAGCAATTCGACATTGGACAATACCTTTTTTTTAAAGAAAATTTTCATAAAGTCGGCGCTTTAAAATGACTTTTAAAGTGCTTTTACAAACCAGTGGTGACCCTAAGTGTTGTGTGGAGGAGGCAAGGAGCTCCCATTTCCCGCGTAGAGGCCGGGCACCCAAAGAAATTTTTGAGTTCCGGCGCCTATGTTTATATCATCAAAAGTTTGAAAGAGGGCTCCATTTTAAATTAGATTTTTAGGTACTCTCACATGGTAAAATTGTGGCAAAAAGCAATATTTATTTAGTTAAATTCTTCTTTAATGGTTTCTGAAGCAATTTTGCCGAGGTTATGGGTAATTTTTCTTAGTTTGACTAATCTAAGTTTTCCTAAGCGATTTGTTATCATTAGGGCTTTTCTAAATGAAAAATTTAATCAATTTTCGTAATATCGGCATAAAAAAGTTTCAAGAGCATTAAAAATGTAAAATATTTTAAATAGAATAGATACTTGCTTTTTGATCTCCACATTGGCTTTACAACTTTAAGTTCTACCATGAAAACAGTAGCAGCAATTATTACTGCTCCCAGGACGGCGTTGGGAATATAGTAGAAATAGGGAGTGAAAAACAGCAATGCTCCTATTACAAGAAGTCCTGTATATATTCCTCCGAAAGTAGTCTTGACCCCACTTGCGTTATTTACAGCACTTCTCCCAAGTGCTCCCGTACCCGGATATCCTTGAACAAAACTGTTTCCGACATTACAGAGACCAATAGCTATTAATTCTTGCGTAGCGTCTACAGGTTGTCCATTGGCTGTAAAGAATATTTTTTGTATTAAAGGTAACTGCTTAATTTTCAAATATGATGCCTTATATTATCGGTCTAATTTACATTTAGGATAACCTCAGTGGCATAGCGTGGTATCGATACGAGGGGATGAAATGAGTTTCACATTTTATAAAAACAATCAAGTTTTTTTTTTATTAAATTAATTAATTTTGGACATAAATAAAGTATACAAAAAAATGTAGCAGGTTAAAAAAATTATCAAAATAATAAAAAAGAACTTAATTAAAGTAGGACAGTTTAGGCAAAAAAAAATAATGTGAAAGTATTTTAGATTTTAAAATTAGGATCAATCCTTCTAGTGAGCAGTTTTGCGAAAACATTTATTTTATTTTCATCAAATCGCACATCCTCTAAAAAACTGTCATAACACAAAAAAGTAATTTTTTAGATATTATATGCCATGCTATTCAGTTTTTAATTATCCACAATTCAACAAAACCGCCATAATTCTAACATAAAAAACAGTCGCTAGATGGAGAAAGGGTCAGTTTTTCAGGGAGCAAGATTGCCCGCTCTCGGATCCACAACAGTGTCGTATCAGTGTTTGTGTGAAGTATACGTGTGTTGAAGCTCCTAAAAAAAGTCATAAGTTGTCTTACAACTATAATTTAGGTAAGTTTTTTTGAACTAAATGTATTTAAAATAGCAGAAAAGTGCCGTAAAACAATAAACTTCTGTTTTCTACAGTTATAATTTGAAATTATTTTATTTTACATTCTAAAAAAGAGTCATATCACATGTTATGATACTATTTTACCCAACTGCAGCTTTTGTTTACAATTTTACTGAAAAGAAAATAGTTGTAACCTATCTTGTGGTTCTTTTTTGTTTTTATTTTTTAAAATTTCATTTATATGGGTAACAGAAAATAGCCGTAAATATGATATGACTATTTTTTACAAATCTATTTTTATAATTTAATATAAATAGTGAATATAATAATATCACATTACGTCTTATGACTATATTAATCCGAATAATTGGCAGATTTTTTTGATTAAGACAGTTTTAAATGTACAGTATTTAATTGTTTTAATGAAACAAGATTGTTATTCTGTGATATTTTATTTAAGGATTCAAAAATGACTGACAAATTTAAAGGTCGTGGCAAAAAATTGGTAGAACTAGCACATTGGAATGAAGAAAAAGAAAATTATTGTAATAACCGCACAGATAAGTTTTTAAACAGAAGTAATAAGTTTTATTTAATTTTTTCAGACTTTCGTTGACAAATAACTATATTTTTTTTATAGATAACCAAGCTAGTGCAGTAGTTGAACTCATAAAAGAAAATTTTGCAAATAAAAGTTTAGGTAAATTTTTTCATGTTGTTTATTTAATTCTATATTATGACAAAATCAACGGACAGTGTTATTTTTAGATTTTGAAACACTTTCTTTTATACAAACAATTTCATTAGTACTTAAGTAAAGGTAAATTTAGAAATAAAGCAGAAAATATAGTGCTCGATAAACAATGATTCGAAAACACGTGATACACAAAATGATAAAGATTTAAAATATTATTTATTTCAGAAATTCCTATAGTTAATGTAACTCCTGAAGCTTGGCTGGAGATTGAGCCGATGGCCAATTGTAGTTATCACCCTGAAAATCAACGGACAGATAGAATTATAACATCCTATGATTCTTACTCGGAAGATGACGATGACTCTGTGAAAGATCCTAGCTACAACTCAAGTTCTTCCAGCAGATCTTCTAGCACCTCATCGAGTTCTTCTAGATCAACAGATTCTTCTTTTCAAATAGCAAACAATAATAATCCTAAAGTATTAGTAGAACTGTCAATCCAACCAGCTGCTGAAAATATGAATAACGATGAAGAAAATGAAAAACGACCTTTGAACACAATGTTAGTTTGATTGAAGAAGACACTAGAATTATAAAGAAAGGGAGGAAACGTCTTGCAAGAGTCGATGAGTGGCTGACTAACAAAGCAAAAAAATTGCGCAATACTGGCCAGTCTTATGTGTCTAGATCAAAAACAAAAAAAAAATTCCAAGCACGAGCTTTGAAACCCCCCTGTGGTGATAAATGCAAAATAAAATGTTCTTCTAAGGTAAACGAAGACAATAGAAAAAAAATATTCGCTAAATATTGGGAATTAGGTGATATTTCCCTACAAAGAAATTTTATAAATAACTCTATCAAACCTATTGTCCCTGCATTTCGTTTCTCTGGGAAAGAAAAACCTCGGAATTATAATAATGCATTTCATTTTCATGTTAATAGCGTTGACATACGAGTGTGCAAGAAATTTTTTATGGCTACATTGGATGTGAATGATCGCGTTATAAGGACGGTATTTAATAAGAGGGAACTAGGTTTTGTTGATTTGGACAAAAGAGGTAAACATGGTCATCATCGAAAAGTAGATGAGTCGATTAAAGAATCAATTAGAAACCATATCAATTCTATACCACGTATAGAAAGTCACTACATTAGGAACAATTCTAGCCGGCAATTCATCGATGGTGGTAAATGTATTGCCGACTTACATGCAGACTACAAGAAACAGTGTATAGAGCAAGGGATTCAAGCAGCACACTATAAGATGTACTCTAAAATTTTCAATCAGGAGTTTAATATAAGTTTCTTTATTCCTAAAAAAGACCGTTGCGAGTTGTGTGTCAGTTACGAAAATGCAGATGATGCAGGAAAAGAGAAATTACGTCAGAAGTATAAGACGCACTTAGAGGAAAAAGATCTCTCCAGACTTGAAAAAGAGAACGATAAAACCAAAGTGGGTAGTGATTATATTGTAGCCGTTTATGATCTACAAGCTGTTCTTCAAACACCAAAAGGAGACGTTTCAATATTTTACTACAAATCAAAACTTAATACCTTAAATTTTACTATAAGTGAACTTAGATCTGATAATACCGAATGTTACCTGTGGCATGAAGGTGAGGCTAACCGAGGAGCTGATGAGATTGGCTCTTGCGTTCTAAATTTTATTGACAAAATAATGACAGACTACAATGGTTCAGGTATTGAATTGGTATTTTTTTCAGACAATTGCTGCAGACAGCAGAAAAATCGATTTATTTTTTCTATGTACATGTTTGCCTTAATGAAGTACCCCAAAAATTAAATCAACCCACAAATATCTTATCACGGGTCATACTCAAAACGAGGGAGATGCTGTACATTCTACAATCGAAAAAGCTATAAAGAAGAACCTCAGATCTGGTCCCATCTATGTTCCAAGCCAATATGCATTGATAATTCGAAGTGCCAAAAAAAGGGGTAAACCATTCAATGTAAATGAAATGAGTTTTAAAGATTTTTTTTTTGATGAAAAATTTAGCAGAAGATATTGGTTTTAATACCAAAAATTTGAAGACTTCCGAAATCAAGATTTTCAAGGTGATTCAGGGCGAATCAACAAAAGTATTTTATAAGAATTCCTATAAAGATAACGAATTCACTGAAGTCGAGATTACTCGAAAAAGAATGAATTTTCAAACCATTTCAATTAAAAAAAGCTTACAAGTGTAGACCTAAAATAAAAGAGAACAAGAAGAGAGACCTTTTAAGTTTGGTAGAGAGTAACCACATCCCAAACTTTTATGGTAGGTACATTTTACATAAATTTGTAATTTTATATCAACAATAATAATACTTATAATACATAGTACAACATTGTTAAGACTGTTAGATTTAAGGCTGCTAGAGTCTGATTATGTTTAATAAGAGTAGATTTATTATTATTTTTCCTTAAAGTGATATTGTAAAAGTATAATTAATATACCTAAAAGATTTAAATAATATTAGTTTGTACGTATTCATTTTATACGATTTAAATTGTAAGTAAAATTTGTTTTAGTTACTTTAATGTTCAATTTTGACAAAGTTGAGTTTTATTTGATTTTGATACCAGTAAACCTTAGTTTTAATGTTTTAATGTGAGAACTGTTATAAAACATTGAAAAAATTCTCAAACAATTGAATAAACCACTGTTAATTATGTCATCTTTAAGTCGTCCCGGAGCGCCACGGCAAATAATAATAATAGCCGTTCCTTTTCCCTATACAAGCTTCGGCTTCAGGGGTTTAAATTCACTCGTAAGGGGGTGAATTGGGGGTGAGTATTATTATTATATTATTATTAATATGTATAATTTTGTTTCATTACATAAAATAATTTTACGTTTAATGTAGGAAAGTGTCGTATTTTATGACATTTTCCATTTTGAACGAAAAAAATAATTATTCTTGACATGAATTAATATATTTTTTATAAGCCTCCCATAAGTAAATAAATTTAACATTAACTAATAAGGTTTAAAGCTAATAATGAATAATATCAGCGTCACAGTAGCATTAGTAAAATAAAACAAATATTAAAAGGCATTTTTCTCAAAACAGATTTTTTTGTGTTATGACAGTTTTTTAGAGGACGTGCGAAATGCTGCATTACTTAACAGCGAAAACGGCGCACTGGAAACCTGAAACGCGAAATCACGACCGGAAAGGACGGTGACCGCGGCTTGCCTCACCAGGAGTTCAAGATGTAACAAGAGACATCGCATCATAGCCTGTTAAAATATTTCTATTTTTAACGCAGTAGCGTATTCCAATGTCTCGGAAATGTCCATTCGTTTTCTTTATTGTTTAAATTTAAAATGGATGAAACAAAAAGTTACTAGATTTTACTACGACGTGTATATTAATTATTATGTTTTTATGCTAGGCGGCAGTTATCAAAATAATTTTGAATTTGTCAATTTGTTAAAAATTTGTATATTTTGATACAGTTTTTATAAGTATTCAACGAAAAGGTGAAACGATTTAGTGATCAAACAAAAATTTTTAAAACTTAGTTTCCTATTTTAAGAGCTCTAAAATTTTTATTGTAATGTACATCAGTTATATTATCGAAATTATGTTTTGTAATCTATATAATTAAAACCAATTGCACATGAAAAAAATAATTGTATGTCTTACCAAAAGCTTTGCAAATTGCAATATTTTCCAAAATACCAACCATTGGAACAATGATGATACCACTACCCAAATTGTACACCATTTCAAAAAAAGAAACTTGAACTAAGGTGCCATTCTTTTCTGACGTAAAACCAAAAGGTGGAGCTTTGAATGCAGGTAAGCCTTGAGGGACAGTTCCAATAACCAGAAATGGAGGTTCACCTCTGCTACAATAGACGTATCCTATAAATCCACAAATTATAACCAATATTGCATTGCGACCTGTGCCTATCACCCATGTTAAATTATTGAATACTTTTTTTAAAACTGACGGTTTTTCATCTTCTGTTCCAAGTTTTTGAGAACCAATTGTCTAAAAGTAAAGAACATTAAAGCAATATAATCTTATTAAAACAAATAAGGCATACTACAGAAAATTAAATTTAAATAACATAATTAACAGAAAATTATTTCACCTTCATAATTAATAGTAAAACAATACAAGAAATACCCATGACAGCATCCCATGTACGCGTATTAGGTATTTCATTTATAATGCTCATCCAACTTTGCAGAAAGCTACCGCCTTTCGTTTTTATACCTAGAATATCTTTCACTTGGGAGGTGACAATGATTAAAGCTACTGCTGAGGTAAATCCGGATGATACTGGTCCAGACACAAAGTCAATTATAAAACCTAAAACAAAAATTTTAAGTAAAAACCTTTGACCATGTAAATATTAGCATAGACGGGACTTTACAGGTAGGAAATGTTACAATTACAAAAAAGAATGGCGTACTGTATTAGTGTAAGGAAGAGTCTCGCATTGTAAATTACAATAAAATGCTAGATGGATGGCCCAAAATAAAATGGTCGGGCCTTTATTAGATCAGGGTTATTCATAACTATCGGGAAAATATTGCTGTGGATTAAGTTGATTTTTTTCGATTTTTCCTGATAATATCACTGTATATTTATGAATTGTTAACAAAATCGGTACAGAGACATATCTTTGGACAAGGAATATTATTTTATGTAATATTTTACATTTTTTTACAGGGGGCACCACGTGAATGATTCCTGATGATGAATTTAAGTGGTAGCTTGTTTTGACGAAACTTTTTGGTGTTTTTGATAAGAAAATATGATGTAATTATCATTTCTACGTAATATTCACAAGTCTCGGATGGAGATTTTGAAAAATATTTCATTTATAAAAAATGTGCTTTGCAGTGTCAAATAATTGTGTCTGGTACATATGTCATTACTTGTCAGTGAATGATTTTTGCTGTGAGGTTATAGTCTTTTATTATATTATTAATATTGTTATTATTATTTAACGTCCTGTATCTTATTCCACAGCAATATTTTATTAAGGTACATTAGGCCCTATCGTTATATTTTGATTCAAATAACCTGCCCTGAGACTATACCCCAAAAATTATGAATCACCTTGTATAATAAATAGTGGGGATTTATTCATCACACAGTAGTTATTAAATCCTCGTGCTAGATAGGTTCGGTAGGTAATGCAATGCAAATTAGCAAAACACCGAGAGCGCAAAGGAATCTAATAAATAATATTGGAAGTGGTATAAAACAGCGGGTGGCACAAAATTGATTGAATTGGAAATTTGATCGAAAATACATTTGATCGAAGATTTATTTTATCGAATAACATTTTATCGAAAAGACAATAATCTAAAATTCATTAGATCGAAAATTTACATTATAAATCGCAGTCTCGTGTACTGTCGTGCTAAGCAAAAACGCCGTATCTACCAAAAATTCAAAAAGTGGGGTTTTAACCTATATTGGTAGTGCTAGTTTCTGATTCTCTTTCTGTTTTAAAGGCCTTGGAAGATATAAAACTCCTAAACGTTAATTGTAACACATATATCTTTAAAATTAAAAAACTTGTCACAGAGTTATCTCTAACTGGTACACTAATTCGTTTCTTGTGGATAAAAGCTCATATAGGCCTAGCAAAAAATGAAGATGTCGATAAACTTGCTAAAGATAGTAAAGGGTGTAATAATTTGACAAAAAGTGAAGTTTTTGTATAAATGTTCTTTTTTTTTTATTGAAATTGACATCGGCCAAGTGGCCACCTCCGGACGCCACATACAAATCGGCCCGTTTTTCGGCATTTTCCATCACTTTTTGGAGTGTTTCGGGTTGAATGGCAGCGATTTCTCGGCGTATGTTGGCCTTAAGTTGTTGGAGGGTGGCTGGTTTATCGGCATAAACTTTTCCCTTCAGGTATCTCCACAGGAAAAAGTCAGGTGCGGTCAAATCTTGTCAATGAGCCGGCCAATCGAAATCGCCGTATTTCGATATCAATTGATTCAGGAACATGGCACGCAATAAATCCATTGTTAGACGGCATGTTGTGCCGTCTTGCTGGAACCAATAGTCGCCCATGTCATGTTGGTCCACCTCATTTGCCACAAAATCGCGTAACATGGCACGATATCACTCGCCATTGACTGTTACCGTAGCGCCCTTATCGTCTTCGAAAAAGTACGGGCTGATGACCCTTTCAGCACAAACACCGCACCAAACAGTGACTTTGAGGGAATCCAACGGCTCTTCGAAGATCATTTAAGGATTTTCAGTGCCCCAAAAGTGGGTATTTTGCGTATTAACAACGTCACACAGCGTGAAATGTGCTTCATCGGTCATGATCAAACAGCTCCAAAAATCAGGTTGACTGCATATTGCGACCGTACTGGATGCAACGCGGCCTATCAATTGGCAATAATTGTTGAGCGGTCTGCATTTTGTAAGGAAAGGCGCGCAAATCCACCCTTAACAACCGCCACATGGACATGGGGACATGTCAAACTGCTGAGCACGGTGTCGGACCGAAACTTGTTGACGCTCCGCGACGTCGGCACTTACGGCTGCTATTGCTTCCATACTCCGTCTGGTACGTGGCTTATTCCGACGGACAGAGGTTGCCAAAGATCTTGTGACATTAAATTTTGCAACCAAAGCACGAATAGTCTTCGGGGTAGGCGCATTCTGGCCACAATACCCTGCTCTGAACGCGCGTTGAGTCAGCGTAACAGAGGAGTTTTTTTGAAAATAAATTTTTACAATTCCAGCACGTTGTTGGGTGTAAGGTGGTTCATTGTTAAAATTGTACTGGACTGACGTTTCTAAAACATTAACAAACATGGCGATCTGTCACCTGGTTGTCAAGTTATTTGAAAAAAACATCGGGTACTACTATAAGATACACCCTTTATTAATATTGGAAATCCACATCCAGACTACGACTTATGCGATGGTGATTAGTGTGTTACTCTCAAAACCAAACTACGTTTAATGTGGTCGCATTCATGGAGTGAATTTTCTTTCACTAACCGAATAAGATACACATTGTTAAATCCGATCATACTTACAGAATATTGGCACAAGCAGTTTAATATTCTTCGCAGATTTATCACAACAATCATTATACTCAAATTTAGACACGCATGTTATCCCCAACATCTTTCCCATATAAATGTCATACCTAGTGACAACTGCGAATACGGTGGAGGTAAAGGTGATTTAGATCACATTTTATTTGAATGCACAACATATCAGAATCTTACAAATAAATTATATAAAAAACGGTGCAACGTAAATATAACTGCTCTTTTTAACGTATTGTCAATTTTGGCTTCATCTAAAAAATAAACTTTCGATTGTTTGATAGAAATTTTGTCAAAAGTACATACAACATTGTAGTAGATATGTTACCTTTATTTTTTTTTAGACATGGTACTCTAAAAAACGATTAAAGGATATCCACAATAGATCTGAAAAGGTTGAGGTGGGGAGGCCATATGGCCCACATTCCTAATTAAATCTATCTATCTACCTACCTACCTTTGTTTTTGACATATCCTAATTACCTTTGTTATATTACCCTACCCACACCATGGCCTATTTCTAGTGTCTTCAAAAAAAAAAAATGATGGGTCTCTGGACTAGAAACGAGTGTTCTTGTTTATTTCCTTTGAAAAATATTGTCTTATTAATTTTTGTTTGTCGTGATAGGTTGGTTTTGTTGCGATATGTTTGTTTTGTTACGACAGATTGTTTTTATTGAGATGGATTATTTTTGTTGCCGTTCTTTGCCGTTTATTTTACCTTATATTTATATTCATTAAGTGACTGGCTGAATGACAAAAAGTCCAAGCAAAACAAAAACAAATTAAATAGTAAAATATAAAAAAATTGAAACACCGTGAAACTGAAAGCGTCCGTATAATCACTACTACCAGGGAAACTAAATTCAGCGGCTACCCAATTAGGTATTAATGGCAAAATTTTCGATAATCTCAAACGATGCTACCTCGTTTAACAAATTTTATCCTTACAATACTGGAATTTAAAAATTAATATTTTAGAGCTAAACGGTTATTGAGATTAAAGCATTGTGATTAATTCGCAAAAAATATGAATTTCAATAAGGTCGCGTTGTCTCCTGATGGACATTTTAGGTAAATTATTTTGATTTTTTTATAAAAAATTTATATAAATTACCTAACCTGTGTGGCCTGGAGCCATCGCGGTTTGCCTCGCAAAAAAATAATAGAAAAATTAAAAACATCTTAACTAATTTACCTAACCTGTACGGCCTAGAGCCGTTAGAAGGATACTGCGGAAAATTTTTTATAAAAATGAAAAAAAAAAAAAACCTAATCAATTTACCTAACCTGTGCGGCCTGAAGCAATTTAATTTTAACTGATTGCTCTCACACAGGTTAGGTATTTTAGTTAAGTTCTTTTATAAAAAACTTTGCCAACTTGCCTAACCTGTGCGGTCTGGAGCCGTCGCGGTTTTCCTCGCAAAAAATATATAAAAAAATAAGAAAATAAAAACCTTACTAATTTCCCTAACTTGTGCTATTTAAATTTAACTGATTGCTCTCGCACAAGTAAGGTAAGTTAGTTAAGTTTATTTTTTATTTTTTGTATATTTTTTCTTGTGAAGCATCCAGCGATGACTCTAGGCGGTACAGGTTAGGTAAATTAGTTAAGTTTTTTTATTGTTTCTAATTTAATGTATATTTAATTTTTCGATCAATTGTTTTTCTATCAAATCTATTTTCGATCAATTTTCTTTTCGATCATTGTTCTTTTCAATCAATTTTCTTTTCCATCATTTTTCTTTTCGATCAATTGTTTTTCGATAAAATGTGTTTTTGATCAAATGTTTTCGATCAATTTTGTGCCACCCTAAAATTATGCCACTGTATTTTTTGAGGTATTTCTAATTTGCCTCTTACCTAATCCGAACAAGCCCATGAATATCTGAATGAGTCCGCTTAAAAAAGAGAGTAATATTGCGTGTTCGGGTCCTCTGCCTTTGATGGCTTCAGCAGCCAGTAAAGCGTTTAGAGCTGAAGGACCGAACGGTACATCTTTGCAACTTCCAAATGCTGTATAAATAAAAGAACCTAAAAAGGAACTGTATAATCCATATTCTGGAGGTAAACCTATAATACTGTAGTATGCCAATCCCTAAAAAACAAATAAAAGAACAATTAGTAAAATAAATGTTTAAATATGAAAGGTCTGCACAATTTCATGAGGCTAGTAGATAAGGATCTAACCCAATTTATCTTAGTCCAAAAGTGAATAGTTTCCCAAATGAAAGTTATTATTTTTTTATACTTTTTTGAAAATATTTATCTTAATAATAGGATGATCTGCACAAAATTTTATATTTGGATAGGTTTTTTAGGATGAGAAATCAAGATCTGATTACAGTTACATTGTAGAAGGCGCCACCAGCACACTTACCTATATCTTTTGTCTAGAAGCTAATAAACCCAATACATTTTGCTAATTGTTAAGGGTAATTTAAATCAACGACTATTTTAGTATCTTGGTACTAGTACCTCATATGGTTTAGCTACAAATTATATGACAGCTTTTGACACCTCATAATTTATTCAAGCGTTTCAAAGAGCAGTTAGATGGTCATAAAACCTTACAGAAGTACCAGTAGTTACATATTAAAAAAAAATTAAAATTTCTCCTTAACAATATAGGTAGTCTATTTTTAGTTATACACATGCCATTTCAATAAAAATATACAAACAATGGTCTATTACAATTTTATTTAATGTATATTTACCTAAATATAATGTGGTAAATTTATAGTCAGCTTTTTGTTCGAAAAATAATTATAAAAGAATTGAAATATGAAAAATAATACATACAGTGTTTCTACTTAAGTATGAAAACCAATTTTATTATTTTCTGAAAAAAAGTCTCTTCATAAAAATTGTGTGTTCAAATATCTGCAGATTTGAGCCAAATTCAAATTTTCTGATAGACCCTATAATAACTTTTTCCTAAAACTAATAAAACATTTTCTTTACTACTAAATGTAGTCTTTCCTAAACCACTTATAATAATAGAAAGAAAACATTCTCGCTCTTGAGATTGAAAGAACATTCTGAAACACTTGCCTCTTACGTATTTTACACGTATTTTATTCTCTCTAAAGACAGAATATTCATTCTGTAATAGCTACTGGCCAATGACTGTGAATACGACACCAGCATCGTAGATAATCATGAATTTTATGACTGACCGTAGATAAAGTACAGTATGTTACTCTGTCGGAATAAAAAGCCGATACTCTTCACGCTCGCTTACACTTCCGTTCAGAATCTTCCACTAGTATCAAATTTTCATTCCAACCTTGTTACAGAATATACTATTCTATTTGCTGTGAATTCAACTGGACAACATTGTTAGATTGTTTTTATTTAAAATTCCCGCTCATACGAGGCCTGTCTAAAAAGTATCCGACCTTGGGCCAGAAAAAATATTTCTAATACCTGACGGAGTTGGGACCCTAACCCCCTTCAAAGTAGGCCCCTATCTCTTCTCTACTCTCAAAACGGGATCCTTTCAGTGGCGTCTTCAATTTTGGAAACAACCAGAAGTCACAAGGAGCCAGGTCGGTCTGGAGAGTAGGGAGGTTGGGGAACGGTTTAATTCCATGTTTGGCTAAGAAAGTGTTGATCAATTGGGATGAATGTTCAGGGGCGTTGTCATGATTCAAGTGCCAGTTGTTCGCCGTCCACATGTCTGGTCTTTTGCGCCGAACTGCGTCACGAATTCGCCGGACAACATCTTGATAGTACTCCTTTGTCACTGGTTGTTCTTCCGGTGTGTATTCGTGATGCACAATTTCACGGACATTAAAGAAAACAGTCAGCATTACTTTGATTTTGCTTCGCACCTGATGCGCTTTCTTCGGCCTATGAGAATCAGGATGCTTTCATTCCGACGACTGTCTTTTTGTTTCTGGGTCGTACCCGTACACCCATGACTCATCTCTAGTTACCACGGTGTTCAGAAACCCAGGATCAGTGTTGGCGGTGTCCAGAAGATCTTGTGCAATGTCAAAACGAAGATCTTTTTGTTCCGGCGACAACAACTTGGGTACGAATTTCGCAGCACCCGGTACATGTTCAAATATTCACGCAAAATTGCATATGCAGAATCTTTACCCACTCCAACTTCTGCAATATCCTGCACTGTCAAACGACGATCTGCCATTATCAAATTTCGCACCCTTTCAACATTAGCTGCACTCCGAGCAGTTTGGGGCCTGCCACAACGCTGCTCACTCTCCGCTGATGTGTGGCCATCTTTAAATCGGTTGAACCACTCCTTAATTTGTGTTACACCTATCGCATCTTCTCCAAACACCTGCTCAATCTTACGAATTGTTTGGCTTTGGGAATCACCAAGCTTTTGACAGAATTTAATGCAGTATCTTTGCTCAATTCGTTCAGTCATCTTGCAAAAAAACTAAATCCGACGAACACTAAGAACAGCACCTTACTTGGCGACCACCAGCCAGCGACTTGCACAAACGAACGCGGTGAAAAAATTCAAGCATGCGCATTAAGGTTCCTCCTTCTACGGTGCACAGTGGCGCCGCCTTAGAATCACTATTTTGCGCGGAAAAAATTATAGTCGGATACTTTTTAGACAGGCCTCGTACATGAACTATCTCAAAGTTTTTCGGAATAATATAGTATACCAATACCTTTTATTAAAATCGTTCAATAAAATTTTGCCCAACAAAATATTTAGTTGCTCGTCTCAGTTGTTTCTAAATAAACTTCCAGAGATTTTATTGTCTTAAAGTAAATTAATGAATACTTTCAAAATGGTGGCCATACTTATAGTAAAACTAAAGATGGGAATGTAACCGAACACTCTGCGATAGATGTATACAGCAATGGTGAGTCCAACAGCTTTAATTGATGTTACTGATGAAATTGTATCTTCCCTGGATATTAATAACGTTTTAAAAGGAATGAGGGCCAAACACCCTTTGTGGTAACAGAGCCATTTTATTGCATCAGCAGTAACACAATATAAGAAGATATTTAAAATGAATTAGGCAATAGAAGAACTGGTCATTGGAACGAACTCTTAGGTTTAAGACAAGCTAAGATAATTCTAGGTCACTATAACAAGAAAATACAAAAAAAAAAATTTATATCTGTATGAGTAAGAACAGGCTATGCTTAGTAACATGGATTCTTACCAAACATTATCAATTCAACGAATACAGTAAACTGGGACTAGTAAAAGACGAAATTCATATTTTACTTGAATGTATAATACTCCAGAATCAGGGGCACTACATTTGGGAGCATCCCAAGTAAAAGTGGGTGATCTTCCCAATTTGGATCTACTACAAATCCTACATTTTTTTGCAAATATTAGATTGGAAAGGTCGTTATAGAATTCGAGACTACTCCCTTGTTACCTTAACGACATTATGGGACAATATGCCATACATACATAATATAACATCACTCTTACTTGTGGGCTACATATATTTCAAAGGACCCTGCACTATTTACATTGATTTTGTGTGACGTCAGAATTTGTTCAAATTTTAGTATGGTATTTTTTAGGTCTTTAGAGACAATTTTGCAGCCCTACAGGGTGAGCTGTTAGAACGAATCAAAAGTAAGGAGTGTAGAATTAATATTTTCATAAATATATCTACCACTTTTTCATGAAACTTATGGCATGTGTTACACTTGTATATAATTTGTTAATGCCTATATTCACTTTGTAAAATAAATCATACAGAATGTTTTAAAAAATTGAAATATTAATTACTGAATTACTGAAATAAGGTGCATTTTCATGTAGTACCACTTAGAACATGATTTCTGATCAACTATTTGTTGTATTAAATACAATATAATATTCAATAATACAGGTTGTGACAGATAAACATAAATAATATTTAATACAAAAATGTATCAGTTTTTTTACATAGATTTTTAGACTTTTTGAACTAGTCTTACATGCACAATAATATCTAGTAATTGGATTCGCTTGAATTTCATTGTACTTTATAAATAAAGTGTGCTTCTCATTATTATATTGCAAAAACACGAAGGAACGCCACATAGAAAGTTTCTTAACAAAAATAAACTATCTACTATCAAAAAATTCCCAATAACAAACTTCTGAAATTGTTCTTAATAATAATAGCCCAAAACAAAATAAGAAAATATTCAATGTAAGATGGAATTGCTCTGTTTGAAAATTAACATCCAATTTTTTACCTCTCGAGCGTTTTCTATCCACATCGGACGCATCTGATCTAACTACATTTACGTTTGTTGAATCACGTGATCAAAGATTCACAACATCTTAGATGCATCCGATATGGATAAACAAACGCAGCAAATGAAGTCTGAAATCTGAAATTGCAAAAATTACAACTTGTTAACCCTACCATTATTTAATCTAACATTCGTCAACCATTTATCTTATAGAATCTTTTTGTAATTATTAGAAAATAATCTAAAGCAAGATAAAAGTATGTAGTAGCGTATAACAGCTAAACAATAGGAATTGGCCAGCATTAAATATCATCACTATTCATATAAAACAGTTTTTTAATAAAATACTACTGCAAAAACTGTATTTGTTTTTTTTTTATGTTTTAATTTAACTAAAGCTAACCTACTAAATCTACAAAATAGAATTATACTTAGAAGTGAAAAGCTGACATATGTACCGTCAACCGGGGATATATCGGACGATATTTTCATTTATCTGCCTGTATTTCTTTTGTTTAACGTAATTAAAGCTACCTAATACATTCTATAGTAAGAAGTTAACCTAGTAAGCATATTTACATAAAAAAGTCTTTTAAAAGATGTCACGGTTATTTTTTTTTTCTCTTTGAAGTTCGTCCGATATAACCCGGGGTTTGGGGTTATATCGGACGCTTCAATTTTTACATTGGAAAAGTACGTTTTGAGCCTGGTGTTCGGTATAGGTTTGGTCAGAAACCTTTATCGGACATTTTTTATCGAAAAAAAATTCTATGCAAGGTACAGGGTGAAGCAGTAAAAGAGAAAATAAAAGATAACCATCTTTATTCAAAAAACAAATTTACATAGGAACTTCAAATAATAAAAAACAGAAAAATAAACATTAAAGACTAGATAAAA